TATACTGTATAATCTGGTCTTCCTAAAATTCCCTTTAAGATTAATTGATCAAGTAAGTTCTAGTTCTAAATTGGATATCATAGTTCTCCATCTGATATCATGTTTAGTGGGTCTGCTGGTACATACAGTAAAAGCTACAGTACCTCACATTGGATGGGTATTATATATTAATTATTATTAATGGTCTGTTTCTACAACATTAACCCTCTATTGATGAGCATTGTAAATTACAATAATTTGAATTTTGCAGCCAGTTATCTGCAGTAAAGTATTATTGAAGAAGCTCTTCACATAAGGAAGAGCAGGCCTCCCTTCCTACAATTTTGTGAAGGAAGGGAGGCCTGCATTTTGAGTAAGATGTTTAACTGTACAAATCATAGTTTTCATAATGGTGTGAATCTGACACCCTGTGAGAAATTAATGGATCTCCAACACCAATGGACAGTTTTAATGGGAATAATCTGTTAACTTCCATGGTGCCATGGAAATATTGGTACCCAACAACAACAACAACAACAACAATAATAATAATGTGGTCAGTGCTTCTGAAGGTTTTCACTTGCTAAGGCAACTTTTCACTACTTTCAATTCATTATTCAGTTCAATGGATCATGTTTTTTTGCAACGTTCTCAGAACCTTGTTGTAATTGGACTTCCGTCACGGATGTCGGAAAGGACGAACCGTGGAATGACAGGAGAGCAAAAAGACCCTATGCGTAGCAGCAAGATGGGGGTTAGCCGGGGCTCAGCTGTTCAGGGAATGCTGTATAGAAACCTATGCCCTCAGGTAGCGGACGTGGGGGGACCTGGAGCTAGGCGGGTCTCAGGACATCCGAATGTCAATGCTGAGCGAAGGTGAATGAAAGACCCAGAAATATATAGCCCAGGAAAGAGAGAGACTGGAAGGACAGCAAAGCAGGAAACTAGAGACAGGACAGAGTAGGAGCGCCCCCTGGCTGCAGAGGGTGTGACAACTTCCTCCTTTAACCACATAAATTGAAGAAAATTGTGTTAAGATGAACATAGTACTTAATAGTTCAGGTGGGTAGCTGCGTGAGCATGCATAGGCTGCAAAGGAACAAGTAATAGGTTTATTCCATGCTGAAAAAAAGAAGAAAGAGAACACCACATTTAGGCTGTGGAGCCTTCTTCAGGTGTGAATCCATCAATACTATCATCCTTAAAACACAATATCATTAAAGATAATAATGTTCTCTGTTCAATTTTGTAATTAAGTCCTTTTATTATTAAAGAAACAAAAGTTATTGGAAAGCAAGAATAAATTTGAATTATTCAAATTATTTATAAAAACGGATGCTCTTTTATTGGAATATAACTACTACTACTCTATTCAACTTTAGGGAGATCAAAACTGTGGCCTGCTGTATTAATGGGATCTAGAATAAAGCTGTAGTTAATAGCTTTAATCCTAACATCTCATCTTCAATCACAGCACTGGAGATGCGGTTAGAAAACTCCAGTCCTGCTGGAAGACTGCTACCTGCTGGTGAAATATGGTATTTTTCTCTTTCTGTCATTCAGTTTAGTTGTGAATACTGACCTCGACGTACTGTATGAGCTGTGCAAATTTGGATTCTGTGTTTGTGAATTCTTCAGACATCGTAGAGTCAAAAGACAAAAAAAAAACCGCCAAGGAAAGACCAGAAAATGAAAAACTGCATGAGTGTGCAGTAATGACATCACGGTAACTGACAAGGGTGAGTACAAAAAATACAAAAATAAATAATTATATCTATAGCAATATATTCTTCCGGTAACAGTAATATGTTTCTGTTTCATTTTGTTTAGTTAAAAGGAATTCAGTTGCACTTAGCATTACAAGACAAGACTATTTTCAAAAGTTAAGTAAAATTTGTGCCAGGTTGTAAGTGTAATTTAGTTTACTTAAAAATACAAACAAAATTACTCACCAGAATAAGAACAAATATAGTATCTTTTGTTGTGCTTTAAATGTATTGAGGATATGAGGACATGCAAGCAGACGTGAAGTGATAATTGATTTTCATGCTCTGTAGTTCTTTAGCAGTGCTTTAGCTATAGTATGTCACACTGATAGGTAGTAAGTTCCAGACCACACCGAATACAGTGATTCACCGATTCAGACCTAATGGTTATAAGTAGAGTTAAGTGCATTGTGAGCATGTGATTCCCTCCTTTGAATGGGACATGATACCATTACAGGATCCCATTTAGAGGTGGAGCAGTGGCAATGTAGCTAAGGATCTGCACCTGTGGCTGGTACAGTAGGTTGCTGGTTCAAATCCCGTGGCCAGCAGAGGAATCCTACTCTGCTGGGCCCCTGAGCAAGGACCTTAACCCCAGCTGCTCCAGGGGTGCCGTTTAAATGGCTGACCCTGTGCTCTGACCCCAAACTTCTCTCTCCCTGTCCGTGTGCCTGTGTGTCTCATGGAGAGTAAGATGGGGTATGTGAAAAGACAAATTCCTTCAGAGGGTGGACAAAATGCCAGACCAGTTTAAGGCTCACACCAAGCTTACAGTAACAGTCTCCCATCACCTCTGAGGACACATTAACACAGCTCAGTCTCTCAACAGCTGCTGTCTGTAAACCCCACCTCCCCCAAATCCATCAATATCACAGCATGGGCTGAGGCAGGTCAGAAATAGCTGAGATTACAAGGTACTGTAAGTGCCTGTTAAGCAGGAACAGGATGTGCAGATAAATAAATGCCCATATCATGTTCTAATAGCACCAGTAGATGTTTCAGCATGCAATTTGCTGCAGCTGGTCGCTATAGCAACCTCACACTAGTGAGACCTGTTCTCTTAATAACCTTGTGCCTACTGTATGTGATTTTAATGCATTCCTACTGTATGTGTGGGGTGTCTCACCAGAGCCCTCTGGTGACTTACCCCATCAACTGATACTCCAGATCCAGTCGCCCTCTTACAGTGAGCCACTACTAACAATTCAAAGGAGTGTTCATCTCAAATCACAGCTCTAAGAAACATTACAGTATGTGCCGCCTCTGCGCTTGTCAAACACACATAAGCCTGAGTGTTTGATTTAATTTTACTCTTCAAATTTAGTTAATAAATTTGAAAAAAGAGAATGATTTTATAGTTTTTTATACAGGAAAAGTTTGCAGAAAGATGTTACCTTTTCCTCAAGCTTGGATTTTACATTTGTACTTCTTTGGTAATAGGAAGGAAATATTAAAACAATATATATATATTAATAATACATGATTCATTAAGGATGTCTATAGCTACAGTACTTCAGATTATTTATGTAGTAGAAATTAAAAATATAACTTTTTGATGTGATACGCTTATAAAAAAGTTTTGTTCTTGTTAGCATCTGAGCTGAAAAGCCATAAGAAAGGTATGATTAAAACAACATAAAAGCAGATGAGATATAATTTACACAATGTAATTAAATCAATGAAAAATGGAAAGATTTATTGACAAAGGGAGTGTACCGACCTAGGGCTCCTGCAATAATAGGCTATGGCCATCTCCCTGCCACAGCTACTTGCAGTCACCTGAACACCGGCATACCTGAACAAGGTCCATTTGGACTTAATGTGCCCGACCACCCCCGGGATAGAGGTGAACATGTTCTGAAGGTGGGAATTGAACTCATCCTACATGGTAGCATCAGCCGAGCATTCCCAGGAAACAACCACACTCTTTAGGCCTCCTGGGTCTGTCCAACCAACTCCATATTCACCTGAGCCAGCCAGGTACTCATGAGTATCTCCACATCCACCCAGGGCTTTTTACACAAGGAATCTTTTTACACAAGGAATTTACACAAGAGCAGGGTTTGGTCCGTCCAGAGCAGGAGAGAGAGCAAACCTGATCGAGAAATCTGGTTTCAGAGCTAACGTTGTGCATGGAGGTAAGACCAATTATATCTAGCTGGTACTTTTCAACCTTCCACACCAGCTCAAGCTCCTTCCCTCAAGTGAAGTGATGTTCTGTGTGCTGGGATCCGGATTCCATTGTCAAGGTCTAGTCCTTTTAGATCTGTCCCACTCATGCCAGTTATCAGACTGGCATCGCAACTGACCCACAACCTTCGCCTTGGCTGGTAAACCATGTATCTGTAATATACAATTTCCTGGAACTGATGCAGCACCTCTCATCTCAAGGGATCTCTAAGCACTTTACATCTGTTAGAGTAGGAGGGTTCATCTACTACTGGGGTGTCAGCCCCATCTGTGTGACTTACAGCAGCCTCACTGCACAGCAGAGAAGACTTATACTTATTATCCATAAAACCCCCTGTTACTGCAACTTAGTAGTAGCTGAAAGGGTGAAGACTGGGTACAGGAGGAATGAAAAAGATACATACTGTATTAGGGAGAGAAGGTGCTTATGCATAGCATTTAGACTATGGGTTTTTAACATGAGAAATGCCTTCAGGAATGATTATGATCTAGGGCAGCTCATGCCTATTGGGCTCTGTTGCTTTTATCTCTCCTGAACATTTGTTAATGAACATTTGTTGTAAACTCTACTCTATTTTACATATGTTAATATTGTTATTTTTTTACAATTCCAGTAAATAACAATTTCTACACTATTTTCTTCATGGACTGTTTAAAGTGTCCAGCCATGCAAAAATTGCAGGTGGTGGTCCATTTACTATGTTACTTGCTCTAGAGTCACAGAAATTCACAATGGGAAACAGTGCTTGCAGAACAGGTTTTCAGTGTATTTTTATTTATTTGTAATTCCTTATTTAATCCAGATCACATAGAAAATATGTATAAAAATAGGATGAAAACATTATTCTCCTTTCCTAATTTTAACATGTGCCATGAAGATCTGTCCCTGTGAGTGCAGCCTATTCATTCTATTTGTTTTAAAGAATAGAGGAAGAGGTAAGATCCTATCAGTGTGTTATGCATGTAGTGCAGAAAATAACAAGTCATTTTTCAGATGGAAACAATTTGCCCTTGCAAAAATATACTGTACTAATTTCAGAGACTGAACAAACTTGAGAAGCACTCTTTAAGAGTCAGATCTTGCATTTTATTGATGGAAATTTTTCATGTGCTATAAAAATATTTGATAATATCATTTAGTAAATGCATGTGTTTAAAATCAGAATTAAAAACAATTTATTTTACATACCGAAAGATTTTAAGAATGCCTAGGAAATTGTCAATTAATGTAATGCACATTTAAATTGCTAAATAAATCAAGAAGTAGGTAAACATCTCAAATAGAGAACAGCAAGCAAGAGATAGAAGTGAGTTCTGGGTACAGATGAAGCCACACAGAATGCATGTCAGAATGATTGCAGTGTTAAACTAGCTGCGCTTTGCTGTGTTGTGATTCGGCTGTGTGATTCACTGACCAAAGACGATGGATAGGTGTTCCCTGTGGTGTGTTAGATGTTAGTGTAAACATTAGTTTCCTTTTAGCTGTTGTAGTACCTTTCTAAATCCACTTAATATGGAATATTAATATGGAATTATGTAACTGAAGAGAAATTTTGGCTGAACATAATTTTCTGAACCAAATGTATCATATTAATGAATGACTATACAGTAAATATAATATATTTATATAGCTAAATATAATGTAATAAGTTTTGATTTGCTTTAAATTAGTCATTCCTCATTATTACACCAGTTGTTTTAAGTCTGAAGTTTCTGCTTCAGCAAAAAGTAATAAAATTAACCCAAGAGTTAAAGGTGAAAATGCTTAACACAATTTCACACTCACCACCTTGGACCCCAGTCCTGGTGAAACATAACCATTAGACCGATATGGTAGATTTTCATTAAACATCTAAATGTTTTTTTCCTAAATTTGAATCCAGGGACATTGCAGAGTCATTGCAGAAGAAGCCAGAACAGCTGGGATGTTTAGATGCTCTTCTCACAGATCCAGGGAATGGCTGATCTGCACATCCTATCATTTATTTTCCCGTTTGTCAGCTCGCCACAGTCTTCCTCGCCAACGTTGTTGGGCTCCCCAGCATTCCAGTACCTATATTCCAGAAAGAAAAAAAAACTTGTTTAATGGAGTTTTGCCCATTTATCTGTAAGAATTTCACTTTTGCCTGCTAGCACTCAAATGTTTATAATCTGTACAATATTTGCCACGAGACTTTTCAGTTTCAGGATTAAAGTTAGGATTACCTGTAGTTTACTTAGTTCATTATACAGCACTTACACTAGCAATATTTCAATAGATCTTGAAATCAATCATACCCAAATCCCAGAAAAAACAGTTCACAATTATTCTTTCAGTTGATAATGCCTACAGATTGGTCCAATGAGACTAAATTGTCAGTAGTCTAGACTATAATGGACAGCTCCTCATTTACCCAAGTAGTGAAAAGAGTAAGACATCTTGTAAACCTCGCAGTATGGATTTTCCAAGTGTTAATTTTAATAATGTTCTGAAACCATGTCCATACTAGTTGTTGTTGCCAAAGTTTGGACAACAGAAACAGTTGACAGAAAATGTTTCAATAAAATTAATCAAATGTTTTTATACCAAATTTATCAACATTTAAAATTAAAAATGACAGAAAATTGTGGGAAGTATCCAGAAGAAATTATGAAATTCTGCAGGACCAGAGTGTAACGAAGTTCTTTCCGGACCCTATGCGGATGACACAATCCGACGGAGTGGGGAAACACTAGGGAAACG